CCTCCTGGGACTCTGAGAGGCAGCAGCACCGCTACAAGAGAGGAGACTTGATCTGGGCACAAGGGTGTATTGAGGGCTGGGGGCTTCTCTCACTCCTTCCCCCAGGGCACTCAGAGCTGTGTGTGACATGGCAACAGGGAGAAATTAAGCCGCCTAATACAGCAGGCTGAGTTCAGGGCCTCAGAAGTCACCATAGGAATGTGACGTGCCTTATGGGCCAGCATTCAAGCAGCTGTTGTTAAAAAGCCCTTGAGGGCCAGGTTCCCAACCAATTGCAAAATGTATCAGTGACTCAGTGGCAATGCTAGCAAGAGAACTGAGGAGTCCTGGCTCTGCATGCCCTGCTCTATCTGCTAGAAAATATTGTTTTTATAAAGCCACCTTGAAATGATTTGGTACTTGGTCCCTGGTGACTTGGTGCCCACACCCCTCATGCCTGCTGTCCCGGTATCTACACATCTGGCACCTCTGCCACATATCTGCCACATCTGGCACCACAGATGGCATGGCTGCCATCTGACTTCAGATCTTTCCAAGTAGCAAAGCTGCCAGTGGCTGGTGACAGGCACCTTTAAGGCAGAACTAGTGGACAGGCAGGGAGGGATAATTGGTGTGAGAATTCCCCTTCCTTGTCTTGAAGGCTGGGAACAGACCATAGAGAGGGTCTGTACAGCAAGTGCAGCCAGAGCAGCAGAGTAGAGACCCAAGAGCTCAGATGGGATCACTGTTTAGGAAGAAAAGATCATGAAGGTAGAATGGGAGACTGAAAAGGAAACAGGGTTTGATTAGGCCTCAGTGCAGGGCCTTTGTCTCATGAGTACTCTGGGCTCTGCTCTTTCAGCTCCAGGTCTTGTCTCTCATGGTAGGCAGTGTTTTCACTGCAGAGAGACATGATCTTACACTGAGGGGGCTGACTGGGAGCCAACCCCAGCAGTGACACAGCACAGGGCACTGGTATCTTGATTAATTTGTTTGAAGTCAACACTATATCCCTGACCTGATTTCCAGACAGACTCTGCCCCAAGAGAGGGAACCAAACCTTATTTTTGCAGGGCAGCCTTCTGCTCAGGCCTTGCCTGCAGGAGAAACATGTCCTATGAATTTATACTGATTGGAGCAAACCCCATGTGAATGGTTCCACAGGCTCAGCTTAACTCAGTTTAAATTGGTTGAACTTTGGTTGATTGAGGACAAGTTAAAGCCAAACTGAAAGAATCACTTTTGAACCAGAAGGCAAGCAGTCAGGGGTCTTTTCACCAGTTAAATTAAAATGGTGTAAGAATCAGTTTAAGTTAAGCCAGTGCATCATTCCTGCGTTGATAATCCCAATGCTTTGCTGTTCTGTGTTTGTGGCACCTAGTGCAGCTGAGCCCCAAATCCCTGCTCAGGTTTTCTGTTGCAAGAGTAACAGTAATGCATAACAGAATGGAAGCAGTCAATCCAGCAGTCAAACCTTATTGCCTTGGGACATAGTCTTAGTCCCTGACTGGAGTTATTTCCATGGCACTAAACACAGATGTGGAATAGCAGGGAGGGCAGCCTGGAAGGGTTGGACCAAAAGATTACTATGGGGTTGATTCACAGCTGGTGGGAGTCTGTTTGGCTCTACTGGCTTCAGTGCCAATTTATGCGAGCCAAGATCCTGGCCTGCTTATTTTTCTCTTGCTCTGTCTGAGGATCCGAGAGAGCTTGGGGGATTTTCCTGAACACAGACCCAGGGCCCAGGTTGCAGGGATAATCAGAGGGCAGTGCACAGCTGGGAGAGCTAAGGAACAGAGCAGGTGGCATCAGTGGCTATGCACAGACTCCAGGTCATTGATTTGCAGCCTGTTGGCTAGTCACTAACTAGGTAACTGTGACTGGGAGTCAGTGAGCCCTGTCTCCTGGGGTACTAGGCTGTGCTCTGCTCTGGAGTGCAGGCAGAAGAGGGCAGATAAGGTGAATGTTGGCTTGTCTCCTCCAGGCTGTGGAACCTCACCAGCCACCCTAGCAGGGTGGCTTCAAAGTTTGTTGGTCTCTATTTTGGGTGCATAGCAGTGCGCGCCTGGATTTGCATTTGAGGGCACTGATCCCCCGCAACCTCCTATGACAGCGGCGCAGTTCCAGGGGAGTTCAACACCTCTGAAAGTGAGGCCGTTATGTTTCTGCTTGTGCTTCCCAGATATGAAGGACTCAAAGTGGGGGGCTCCTCTCAAAGCTGATGATTCAGATCAGCTACCCAATGCCAGAACCCTGTTTGCAGAAAGCTGGAAAGCCATGCGGATGGGAATGCCAGGGCTAGGGTCCCCTGGGGCTAAGCTGGAGAGCATAGGTGATGCATATGGGGTGCATGGGGGTGCATGTACACCCCCTGAGAGTGCTGGTGCCTCCCTGAGAGTGAGTGCTCGCTCTTGGCTTAGGTGATGGGCAGGGGGGACAGGCAGAGTGCTGGTGCCCACCCCCCCAAGAAGTGCCGCTGGCACTTCAGGTTGTGCCACCAGCACTTTTGGGCTTGGCACCTAACTGTGGGGGGATTTCCCTCCCCCCTTCCTCCCCACTGCCAACACCACTGTGTCCGGTCCCTGCTCAGCCCGCCCTCGCCGCCGATGACTGTGTCACCGCCTGTGTGTGGTTGCCATGCCCCCCAGCCTCAGGAGGCATACGTCGCCTATGCTGGAGAGTGTGACCAGTGGCATGTGCTGCCATGCCAGGTGAGAGACAGCTGCCAAAATTGAGCACCAGGAAGGAAGATGGGTTTAGGCTGAGACCGCACCTAGCTCTTGAGGCTGAACTCTGGTCCTTTCTGTTAGTCACTCAGCTGACTGCAGAGGGAAGTCCAGAGCGCACACACGGGCAGGGCATGCAGTGCTTTCAGGAGCCAGGCCCATGAGAGAGCAGGCAGGGCCTTGCTGGGCTCCGGACAGCTCCTGGTTTGGTCACCAGGCTGAACCTCCCAGAGGTGCTGTGAAGTAACAGAAGGGTGGCTCTCAGCCACTTTTTTTGCTCATGGGAATGGCCCAGGGATGGGAATGACCTCAGGCATAAATCACAGCAGCTTCAAGGGTGCTCTAATTTATAGCAGCTTCTGCAAAGCAGCTCCCACCTGTCCTACAGTCCACAGCAGCCCAGCTCATAGTAAAGTGACGTGGCCCTGTCCCAGCAAACCGCCAGTATTGATGTTCCCAGGGCCCATTTAAGTCCAGTATATGGTAGCCCCTTATAGTGCTAACACCATGACAACTGCCCCCCAAACTATCTTCACTCTTGCAGCCTGATGGCACTGCCTGGTGGCCAGTGCATGGGCTAGACCACCATGTGTTCATCTGCCTAGGAGCTGGAGCTGTTGGGAGCTGAGGACTGTGGGTAGGCAGGGTCCCATCTGTATCTGCATGGTGAGCCAATGTCCCCGGCTCTCTCACCTGCTTTCAGGAGGATGATCTGGTCATTCTGGCAGAGCTCCATGAAGCCGTCAATGCGCTTGGCAAACTCCACCACGTACTGGATGGCATTGGAGATCTGCAGGGAGCACTGCTGCCACATGGCCTCACAGCTCTGCAGTCACAACACGGCATCTCAGACAGCCTGTTCCCCTCTGTCACCACCCACCCCTCTGCAGCTCCCTGGGCTCAGGACTTGGGGGGTGCCAGCAGGGGTGCCCTTGGTACTGTGTCATTCTGGGATATGCCAACCCTGGAGGCAGGCCCCAACCACAAGTGTGCACCTCCCTCTGGGATGTACACCTCCAGTCCTGGGAATATGGCAACCCACCCCCGAGCTGCACAGCCACCCCCTGAGCTCATGGCTGTGGGGTTCTGCCCTTGATCCCAAGCCACTGGCAGCCTTATGAGGCAGCAGCTTTGGCCAATACCCTTCCCCTGATCCCATCCTTCATTCACCACCTCCTGTGGACTGTCCAGCTGGCAAGCAAACAGCACCCTAAGGGAGGAACAGGAGGACAGCTCCTGACCTGTGAGGAGCTCCTGTAGGTGTAGGCTGACCCAGGAAAGCAGAGTGCTAGGGTGGGATCCTGTGGCAGCGTGGCGCACTGAGGCAAGGGCCCTGTGAGCAGGAGAAAGCAGAAGGTGGTTACCTTGTTCTGCAGGTTCCGGAGCTCATCTTGGGTGTACAATGTCCATGCTAGTTTCTTGAGCTCCTCGGCTGTGTACTGGCAGGTCTCCAGGTGGGATTTGACCACGTTCTGTGCAATTCGGTCTATAGAGCAAAGGCAAAGTACAGCTGAGAGGTGGGGCCTTAGGTATTAGGGTCAGTGGGTTCTCAAAAGCTAGCTTCCCACAACATAGCTTAGGATGGTGCATGGGGAGCCCAGGGATCTGAGCTGTGAGGTACATACACACATCACTGCCTGCTGCTGGAAGGAGTCAGACCTGTGTGTCTTAAGTACTCTACTGCCAAGGAGGATTCTGCTTTAGCTTAGGTGGCAGAGCCTGTGATTTCAGGATGGGAGTGCTGGGTCTGCATCATGAGCTCCCTTGCTCCTCGGAGATCTGAGAAGCTACAGCCCAGCCTTGGAGCCTCTTCCCCACGCTCAGTCCTTTGCTCTGGGATGCACTAGCCCTGCTGTCCAGCACTCATGTGCCTCCTGGGTGGTGCCCTTCATGGAGGTAGTTTCTGGCATAGGCACTGACTCCGGGTGCTCTGGGGCTCAAGCAGGTGCCTGGCACCCACGAGCCACAGTTATTTCCTGCTTGAAGACATTAAAAAAAGCAATCCGTGCTTTCCTGAAAGAAGCAGCATATTATTTCAGTCTGGCACTGCAGCGTCTGTAAAGTTTGGGCACTTCAGCAGGGCTTTTTGGTGCTTTTAGTTAAAGCTTATCCAATCAGCTATTAGATAAAAGTGCCAAAAAAGCCCCACTGAAGCATCCGATCTTTACAGATGCTGCAGCACTGGGTTGAAGTAATGCACTGCTTCTTCTGGGTATTCATGGAGCTCAGTGCAGGAATGCGCTGAGTTTAAAGTAAAGCGCTGGGGGTTTGGGGTTTTTTTTTTATGTCTGCAAGCACCCACTGGCGAAAAACAAAGTTAGCGCCTATGGCTGGGTGGCTGGGCTGGCTTTGGATGGCGAGGAGATGCCAGAGACTGGAAGCCCTTACTGTACTTTCTGCTGCTATCAGCACAGATCAGGTTTCCCCATAGAAGAAGACACTAGCCTACTCCCCGTCTTAGTTAATGGAAAAGGCCTTTTAGCTCAGCACTGGAGGCCTGTGCTTCCAGCACAGCTCATCTGGTGTTCAGATTTTGTCCTGAGCCCTGGCAAACTAAGCCCACATTATACTGTAAGAGGGCAGCGGGTATACTGACCAATCTCAATCACTGAAATATCCGAGGTGAGCTGGCTGCCTTCCAAGGTGCTGTGTGTGAAGAGGCTTGGTTCAAGCATCAGCTCGTAGATGGGCTCCTGCTTGATGAGCTTGGCATCACTGATGTCCATGCTGGACTGGTCTGGCGAGGGCTGAGCGGAGGTCAGGAGGTCAAGGTTGTAGTAGGTGCTTCCCCCTTCGGGGGTGAGCGGGAAGTCAAAGAGGAGCCCGTCCGACAGGGTGGAGATGTCATCCAGGTCGGAGAGCCCACTGCTCACACTGGTTGTGTAGACGCGGGTCAGGCCTTCCGAGTCGTCCTTGGTGATGCCATTCTGCTCCTGACTCTGCTGGTGCTTCTGTACCTCGGCATACAGGCTGTCCCGCTGCTTCTTGGACATGCGCCCAAATTTCACCGCTGGGGAAAGGAGGGGGCAAGAATGAAGCAAGGGTATAGGAGTAGGTGTGTGGCACATGGTGCCTGGCAAACCACGGCTTAACAATAGTGCTGCCACCCCAGGCTCAGAGGACGGCGGGGTGAGGCCAGGGAATCCGGGCACCCTTAGGACAATTTACTGTGTTTGGATGGGGTTTTCTCTCAACGTCATTATTGCTGCAGCCCAGGGAAGCCTCTGTGGGAGGAGGCCTGGGATATGCCTTTCGCACAGAGAACACAACAAGCTGGTTGCAGTGGGCAAACTAGAACTTGGAGGCACCATGCAGAGCACGACTTGTTCAAGTTTTTCAATGGAACAAAGAAAACCTGAAAAGCTCCAGTGGGTCCAACGCCAGGTATTTTGCTTTGGGTTACTGAAGCCCCTTTAAAAACCTTTCTTTTCTTTTTTTTTTTTTTGTATTGTTTTTCAAGTTAGGGCAGTTTCATAGTTTCATAGTTTCTAGGGTCAGAAGGGACCTGAGCAGATCATCTAGTGTTTCAATGAAAATCAGCATTTCCAGAAGGGTACCTCCTGTTTAAGAAGGGCCAGAATGAAAGGTTTGGACAACCCCACGCTCCTTTCTGGGCCCAAGCTAGCCTCCGAATTTCAGCTGACTTCATGAATCATTTTAGACACCAAAACTCCATTTTTTAGTGGATTTACATCCACCTAGCTCTAATTAGGAGATGGTGCCTGCCCCAGAGAGCTAGCAGGGAGGGCAGTGATGGAGCTGGGGCTAGAGCCCAGCTCTCCTGGCTCCTGGGCTGCAGCAGTATCCACCAAGCAAAGGTCTCTATTAATCAGCCCAACCCAGGGCTCAGGAGTTCCCAAGGTGCCCAGACAAAGCAGCCTCCTATGAAGCAGACTCACCATCACGCGACATGCCCAGGGCCAGGCACTTCTGCAGGCGGCAGTGCTGGCACCGGTTCCGGTTGGTCCTGTCAATCAGGCAGTTCCTCTGGCGTGAGCAGGAGTAGCTGGCGTTATTCTGTTGGCTTCTCCTGAAGAAGCCCTGCGAGGACAAGAGGACAGGTCAGATGGGGGGACAGGGGGACGGGGTCCCTCCCCTGACCTCAGCCTGCTTGCAGAGCTATTGCAGGGGCCTTCTGAAGGAGCCCACCTAGGAACCCAGCAGGCCTTGCCTGTTGTTGCATCAGACTATTCCCAGTGGGAACTAGGGGCTGTTCCCCCTGTGCAGGAGGCAGTGTGGAGTGCACTAGGGTAGTCCCACTAAGTGGTGTGACAGTGATGACGGGAGCCAGGAACTGCCAGGGAGGGTCTATGCAGTCTGTCCCATCCAGCCCTCCTCTGGAAAGCACCTAAGCTGGGATCTTCACCAGAGCTTCAGGGCATCTGACTCAGGCTTCATGGAAACCCCAGCTGGGGGCTGCTCTGGTGTTTGCTGAGCAGGGGGTACATGGTCCAAGAGGTCTGAAACAAAGCCACCCTTCCCCTAGTCTCCAGGCTGGGGCTGTCGCCTCCATGACACCTGCTAGCCTGAGGCCTGAGGATAGCCACAGATTTGCTTCATCTCCCAGACCAGGGCTCACCTTGCAGCCTTCACACGTAATGACTCCATAGTGAATCCCTGAAGACTTGTCTCCACAGATCTTACATGGGATCACTTCGATTTGGGCTGCAGCGGGGGACAGGGAAGGAACAAAACAGACAATGCCAAACAGTTAACCGTAGAGTTCTTGTCTGGTAAAAGGAATTATTAACACCCATCCCTTTGCAGGCAGGTGCCTGGTGGCACTTTAAACACCTTGGCAAGCCCTGCTGTGTGGTGGGGACTGCCTTTGCCCCCATTTTACAGCGGGGAAACCGAGGAAGCGATTTCTGGAGGTCCGTCAGCAGGACAATGGCAGAGCCGGGAACAAAGCCCATTGGGACCAGGCCTGTGCTTCAGGCAATAGAGCATGTGCTGCTTCCAGCCTGCAAACCTGTGCGTTGAGCAGCAGCATGTGTTCAGCTCAGCAATTAGCCCCCTCCACTCTCCCATGCACCAAATACCAGGTAGCTCTGCTGAGATCTTAGGCCACAGGGTCCACTCAGGGTTTTTATCCTCTTTTACCCCGATGGATAAAAAGACTGTAGGCATGGGGGCACATGAACTGGCTCTTGTGGGGGGTGGAGCCTTTCCATGAGTTAGCTGCCCTATGATAACTGCCCATGTGCATGCTCCTGTCTGGAGGTACATGAGAATTACTCCTGCAGCAGCTACAAGGGGTAACAGTGCACCTGCAGGGCTGCTGACATGCCATAAACACTGTCCCCCCCTGCTCCCATTGTGGGAAGTTCATGTGCCCCTGCCTACAGGATGGACCCATGCTGGGTTGGCTTTGTACGTGTCCTAGTTGCAGTTGAGGGTGGTTTCCAGTGCACGCAAGAAATGGATGATTGCTGGTATGATCCGACACACCTGCCCTCTTCATACAGTCCCTTCCTCTTTGCCCGCCTGTAGATGCCAATCAGTCAGGGCAGGGACTGTCTCAGTGAGGTCCCTCCCAGCTCTTTGATTCCTTGATCATTGCTCATTCTATGGGATTCAAAAGGTGTCAAACCCCAAGACTGTAAGAAAAGAAACTATTCTCAGACAGAGGACCTGGTAGCAGCTTACTGCTACACCAGGGGTGTACATCAAGGGCTCGGTGAGCAACTGTTCAGCAGGGCACCTGATAGGAAAACCAGGAGTAATGGCCACAAACTCCTGGAAGAACAATTTAGGCTCAACATTAGGAAAAATTTCTTTACAATCAGGGTGTCCAGACTGGAATAAGCTCCCTCCAGAGGTGGTGCAGTCACCTACCCTGGAAATCTTCAAGAGGAGACTGGACCGTCACCTTGCTGGAGTCACCTGACCCCCAGTTATCTTTCCTGCTTAGTGCAGGGGGCTGGACCCGATGATCTTCCAGGGTCCCTTCCAGCCCCTAACAATCTATGCATCTATGAATCTCTGCAGTGCTTCCCCCCGGATGTGCGCATCAGCTATTCTCAGAACAGGGGTGGTTTAACTCTGCAGTTTCCAGTCCTTTCTTCCTTTCTTTTTAAGTGCCCTGGGGAGAGGTGCCTGGCCAGCAGCCCTGGAGAGTCAAGAGACTCTGTTACCTTGCAGGACACATCCCTCTGGGGCGAGAAGTAGTTCAGGGAATTTGCTAAGAACGCCTTATAAACAGTGTCCTCTTTGGTACCTTGTCTGTAACTCACTACGTATGTCTACATGGATCTCTGAGTAACCAAGCACTCTCAAAACACAGGGCAAGACTGTCTCCTTGACAGTGTGGCATGTGCAGCACCCTGCACAGTAGGACCCTGGCTGAAGCCTTGACAGGCCTTACTCAACACACACCAATTATAACCTGGCCCTGGGCCTCTCCACTGGGACTGTCAGGCTGTTTGGCCAGTGGCTTCAGGGATTTGGCCCCTGGCAATCAGCCTGGACCCCAGCAACTGTGTTTCACACAGGCTACCCGCTGTCTGTGACATAGTGACAGCCTGTGGCACTCCCATCACTCGCTCACAGGATCAAGTGCTTTGTGTTTCATTGCCAGTCCCCTGCCTCAGCTGGTTCCCCTTCACTGGACAGCTGAGTTGCCTGCTGGGTGGTTTGGCTTGAAGGACAATAGTCATCTCTTCCTTCCTAGGCGGAGCGGGCACAATCCTGCCCTATGCTATGGATGTGTGATCTCCAGCTCTGGTTGGTATCATGGATGGGATTTGTGACACTCTAATGGGGTCACTGTCTAACTGCTGCCACTAGCACAGACCCTGCTTTCCTGTCCTCACTGAAGCATCCCTTGTGCCAAATGAGCCACACTCATTGCCATGAATCTGAAGGGGATTCTGTACTGAAGCGACTGGGTACAGTCACACTCTGCAGTTCTGTCTGGCCCACAGCTACCCTGAACTTTCACCATCACATACATGGCCGCTCCCTAAAACCTGGCCTGGGATTGATGCACTGCAGCCACCTCTGGGATGACTGGGCCTGGCTTAGTCATTGCAATCAGCAGCATGAAAACACTGGCCTGCCCAGTGACATAGCTGCATGTACACTGAATATATTAGGGAAGAGGAGTCTGGGGCATCCACAATCTGTCTGACCTGCATATTTAGGCTGTAACCAAGAACCAGGTCTGGGATTTTCAATGATAGTATGCATTTTAAAGCTGGGCAAGGGGCGGCAGTTCCCATTCTGCCCAGGAGATGGCAATAAAAAGCTTTACTGTCTGGATGCATTATAGCTGGCCTGGCATGTGAAGAGAAAGGACTGGACTTCGAGTTCTACAGTAGCGGATGGGTGAGGACAAGGATTTCAGGGCTCAGGTGCACAAAGGGAGAAGCTTCCTTGCCCCCATCCTCCGCAGCTGCCCTTCGCAAAGAGGAAACCAGCAGACATGACATGGAAGGCAGGTCCCAACATTGGCATC